CTCATGGTTTGGGACGGTGTTTCACAGAGGAAACCCAGGTGCTGGGCAGAGGCCCAGACTAGAAGCCTCAGAGTGGATTTGGAGGCTCCTGTAGTAGTTCAGGCAAATGACCGGGGCCTGAGTCAAAGCTTGCAAGGAGGTTTAGTGAAGAAGGAATGGACGGGAGAGATGCTGAGGAGGAAGAGCCTCCAGCCCTCCACCTGATGTGGCAAGATTTGCCAAAGAAGGGAAAGGAAATTTTTTAAAAGAGTTTTTTGCCTTAGGGTGCTTGCAGTTGCTGGAGAGAAGAGAAAAAGAGAGAGAGAGACAGACAGACACAGTGAGAGGGAAAGTGAGAAATCACCCCCGAGGGGGATGGCCACATCACAATCCCTTCTCCATTCTCCTCCTGGGATCTTGGGCATCCATGCACATGCGCCCGGCGTGATTTTTAAGCCACTGGGTCAAACTGCAGTCGACCATGTGGGAGTCCAGCGACATAACCACTACACCATCTGCTGGTTCAAGGAAATGGGATTCTTAATTTCCACCAATGAAGAATTGACAGTCCCCTTAGGGAGGCCAGAGAGTATGGAAGAGGAAACAATCTGATAGTGACAGTACAAAGCCGCTTGTAACTGAGGCCCCAGCACATACCACACTTGGGCAGAGATGTGGTCACACCCAGAGATCTGGCCACGCCCTAAGGCAAGGGTCAGGGCGTAGCCCCACATTCCACAGTCAGACTCTTGGTTCACGAGGCCACTCAGAGGGCAATGACAATGACAAGCTGGCCAATTACTAGCCATGAGAGCGCTGCTTTGCCTCTCGAGGTTCTTTGTGGCAAGAATGGTTATGGAGCAGTGGTGTCCATAGAAATACGATGTGAGCCACAAACGTGAACCACTCAAGTCATTTAAAATTTTCCTAGCCACATTTTTTTTCAAAGACTTCTCCATTTAATTATTTATTATTACTTTAAAATTTGCTATGGAGCATATGTGCTCACTAGAGAGACAGAGAGAGAGAAAGTGAAAAAGCAAGCTGCCAGGTCTGGGACATTATATATATGTACATTATATATTTATATATATATGTAGTTATATATACATTATATATAACTATATATAATGTACATATATGTAATATTTTTAAAGAATTATTTATTTTATTTCTCATTATCGTTATTTTCAGTTTGACCACAGTGAGAGATACAAAGAGAAAGAGAGAGAAAGCGAGAAAGCAAGCCTCCAGGTCTGGAATGTGAACTGTGGTTAGCCATGTGAGAGTCCAGTGCCCCTAACAACCATGCCACCTGCCAGCTCCTAGCCACATATTTTTAAAGTCTTTTTAGGACTGACTGGTATAGTTGTGGTTAATATGACGATCCCACATGGCCAACTGTGCAGTTCAAATCCTGGACCCAGCGTCTTGAAAACCACACTGTGTATGTGCTCAAAATTCCGAAAGGAGAAATGGAGAAGGGGTTGCCATCTCTCCCCCACCCCCGGAAAATTTTTTTTTAAGAAATGGGACCAGCAGTTAGTTTAATGGCTATGTCACTGGACTCCCACGTAGTAGACTGCGGTTCACATCCCGGACCCGGTGGCTTAAAACTCACGCCGGGCGCATGTGTGTGTGTGCCCAAGATCCCAAGAGGAGAATGGAGAAGGGGTTGCCATCTCTCCCCCACCCCCGGAAAATTTTTTTTTAAGAAATGGGACCAGCAGTTAGTGTAATGGCTATGTCACTGGACTCCCACGTAGTAGACTGCGGTTCACATCCCGGACCCGGTGGCTTAAAACTCACGCCGGGCGCATGTGTGTGTGTGCCCAAGATCCCAAGAGGAGAATGGAGAAGGGGTTGCCATCTCTCCCCCACCCCCGGAAAATTTTTTTTTAAGAAATGGGACCAGCAGTTAGTGTAATGGCTATGTCACTGGACTCCCACGTAGTAGACTGCGGTTCACATCCCGGACCCGGTGGCTTAAAACTCACGCCGGGCGCATGTGTGTGTGTGCCCAAGATCCCAAGAGGAGAATGGAGAAGGGGTTGCCATCTCTCCCCCACCCCCGGAAAATTTTTTTTTAAGAAATGGGACCAGCAGTTAGTGTAATGGCTATGTCACTGGACTCCCACGTAGTAGACTGCGGTTCACATCCCGGACCCGGTGGCTTAAGCTCATGCCGGGCACATGTGCGTGCGTGCCTAAGATCCCGAGAGGAGAATGGAGGAGAAGGGATTGTGGCATGGCCATCCCCCCTGGGGGGTGATTTCTCACTTTCTCTTTCTCTGTTTCTCTCTGAGGGATAGAGTGAGGGGGGGAGAGAGAGAGAGAGAAAGAGGGAAAGTGAGAGCAATCCACCAGGTCTAGGACTCAAACCGTGGTCAACCATGTGGGAGTCCAGCACCCTTAACCACCATGCCCCTGAAAAAAATATTTTTGAAAAATATTTTTAAATAAGTTTATTTCTTCCATGAGCAACTATACAGCCCAGCTCCAGCCTCAGCCAGCTGCAGATCATAGGCATGCATGTGCCCAGTATATTGAGAAGACTCTGGACTTGAACTTGAAACTTTTGCGTGGATTAGCCCTGCAGAGTGTAATACTTCACTGTTGTGCCACTATCCAGCACCATAATAGCCACATTTTTTTTTAAAATAAAAGAAGTAGAAATTGGGACCAGCAGTTGGCATAATGGCTATGTCACTGGACTCTCATGTGGTTGACCAAGGTTCGAGTCCCGGATCCAGTGGCTTAAACTCCCACTTGGGGCTCAGTGGCTTAAACTCACACTGGGCGCTTGCATGTGCATGCCCAAGATCCCGAGAGGAGAATGAAGGAGAAGGGGTTGCAGTGTGATTTCTTGCTTTCTGTCTCTGTCTTTCTGGCGAGCACACGCCCCCTACAGCAAAAACCTCTTAAAAAAAAAAGTAGAAATAATTTTTAAAATGTTTTATTTAATCCAGTTTATCCAAAACATCATCTCAATACATCAACAATATACAAATATTAATGAGAGTTTACTTCCTTTTTCATGTTAAGTCTTACAGCATATCTTGATTTGCACTCGCTGCATTTCAGGGGCTCAATAGCTGTGGCTGGGCGTTACCATATTGGAAGCCTGAGCCTTGGGCCCACCTACTAAAACTGAGTCCTTCAGGACACCTGTTTACTGTTGGATCCTCATGCCTCGAACATAGTGAGGCGCCCAGCTATCTGACCAGCAGGCTTCGGTAACCTCCCTCTGAGTATCCTGGGGCTGTTGGGAAGAATAACTAAAACATTGTATATAGGTACCCAGTTCAGTGACTGGCAGTTAGCAGGGGCCTGATTCGTCGTTGCTGCCGCGGCTATTATTGTCAAAGGCACTTGAAGGACAGCAGGCCCGAGCTTGTCTCCCAGGGTGAGTCACTTTACCCTAACGGCCTGGCTCTGCTGAGATCGCTACAATTACGAAATGCCAATCTGGATTCCAGAGTTGGCAGAGACTGTGGAGTCAGGCTATGGGGCAACAAGCGAAAGAGTGGGAATCTCTAATCCACGGTCTATTTTGTTTTCTTGCCCTTTGACAGCTCGAGGCTCCGCCCCGTCCACACCCCGGGCGGGGCCGGCCTAAACTACAGCCCCCGTGATGCAGCGGGAGCCCAGGGGCTTGCG